TCAACAATCGAAATTGTCATCAGACTCCACGGTTCTTCTTGTTTACTTCTCATAGGACTCCTCCTTCTGATTCCCTCCGTTTACTCTTGTTTCGTGTTAAAACCTGTAATAGAACACAACACCTCGTTAATGGTGTGTACTTTGATCATCTAGTGGATGTTGATATCCCAGCCGAGAGGAGAGGTGCCCAAAAGGCGGGGAACTCCGTGAATTTATTTTGAATTGATCACAATTAGCTTAGACTCTCAAGGTTGAAATCGAATAAAACAAGATCGATTTCTCAAACAAGTATTAGGACAACGGTGCCGTCCAATTTACTAAAAATCATACAGTTATTATTTTTCGACTTTTTGAAGCGCCACAATAATATCCGAAATGATATTGTTTAATTAATTATTTTGGTATGATTCGCAATTTCCACTGTTGAGAAAAGTGTTTAAAACCCGCGAAACAGAAATTTGGAGGGCTCTCTCTCTCTTCCTCTCTTACATGTGCTTCTACATTTGTTGTATTCAATGATATTTTCCTTCGCTCATGATGATAGACTTACATTATTTTTCGTTGACTAAATTATTAAGGTTGATTTGTTGACTTGTATTTAGTGTTAGTTGGTTTTAAACTAAAATCATTTTACGTATATTTTAGTTAGTTAATAGCAAGTTAAAACCATCTTACCGAGGAAGGCCGGAATCCCATCATCATTCATGTCCAATTCACCTGTTTACACTACCATTTAGATCTTCTGACAATTCTGAAATGTGTCCAAGTGGGCCATTTATGGTAGAGATCATTCGGTCTATGATTCTCCTTGATTTCCTCTTGTTTACATTTATTAGATTTCCTAGTGTAAATTAATCAAGTTTAATCTTCGTTTAGCTCATATGGGGGTTATTGTGTATTTTGACAATTACAATTTTCAACTATCGAATAAAAAGCCTCTTCGTGTGGATACGTCTAAAAATAAGAAACACATTTGCGATCTTGCTACCAAAGTTACCTTGACCTCACAAGTTTTAAGATTCGTAGACATTAAGACCCTGAATCAACTCTCCATCAGCATCACAAGGCTTTTAAGTTCAAGCAAGATATTTACGGAAAGAAAAAACAAAAGATCTCTAGAAAAGACGTGTTGAATCTACTAGGAGCTTTGTGCCACCTACAAATCAGAGATGCAACAAGTTAGATATGAAGTTCCAACCCATCCATGTCTTCTTATCCGAAGGAGACGCGAAATTGAGCTCAAACATTTCCTTCCTTAGGTTCTCCCCAGAGTCACAGAACCCAACAAGCTTAGCAACTGTCTCTGCACTCTCTCTCACGTGCTCCATGTTGTGAGGATCTGTCCACAGTTTGTTGATCAACTGTTGCCTCCTCTGTTTCCCAACTGCCGGCACGTCCCATTTCAGGTACAGCATCTCTCTCTCTTCCGCTCCTAGCCTCGTGTTTACCTGTTTCGCCAAGTACTCCCTCTCCTGCTTCAAAGCTCTTACGCTGCCACCAAATTTTTAGCATATCTTTGCCTGTCAAATCTTTACTCATACAAGAAGAAGATAAAAGACTACCTTGATGCTACATAGCTTGCTGGTTCATCCCCGAGCAATGCAGGACTCGCATTTCCGAGCTCGGCCAAGTGCTGTTCGAGCCATGTCAGCCTACGGAGCTCGACTTCCATGTAGATCTGATCAGCTGGCTCTCCTTTGAATAGCATGTAGAATTGTGTCCTGTGAATGACTGAGATGTGGCACAGATGCCATAACATTATGATTTGCTTTCTCTGCTCTTCAAAACACAAGGGCCAATCCATTTGAGATTCATCGCTTGCGTCAAACTCTGAAGCAGCAGCTGTCTCGTTCGTCTCCAGTTCTAACACCTAAGGAGAGGGACAACATGAACAAGCTTTTTAAGTTACTCATTCCTGGATCTTAAAAGCACTAGACAGACACATTGATATACATAGCTTTCCAAAGGAGAATATGAACACAACTGGAACGTGAATGAGGACAAGTCACAAAACTAACCTGGCAAACAAGAAGCTGCTTCTGGTATTGAAGCTTGGCCACACGTTCTTTCAATCCAGTAACATAAGCTTTGATGTTACGTATATTCTCTTCGGCAGCATTCTTAAACATACGATTCATTCTCTTAAGATCAACTGAATTTGCTTGTCGTGATTCAGGCGTTCCTTCCCTTGACGGGGTTCGACAGCTGTTATCATCCCTCTTTGGTGGAGTTTCTCCAAAAGACACCACCGAGGCTGGATTAGCAGACACAACATTGCTCTCAGGTGCTTTGTTTTCAGTCCCAGAAGATGAAAGAGGTGAACATGGTGCCCGGATTATATGCTGTATGTTAGGACTATTACTTAAGCCGAAAGGAAGAACTCTCTTTTTTTTTATCTGGGTTCTGAAATCTGGAGTCTGTTCATCTGTTTGAAAAGACGAGACAAGCATGTCGATAGATTTCTGAACACTCTCAAGCTTCTTCTCCAGAGCTGCAATTTCTTGAGAATTCAACCGCATTATTTCTTCCTTCAGGTTAGCTTTATCACCAACTACAATTTCCTCAGTTAAAAGGTTGCTCTTCTGCATGTCACGGATTTCTGACAGCATTTTCGCAACTTTTTCTGCAGCTTGTTGATCACCCAGTTTGTGAGATGTTACTTCTTTGTGAATAAGCTCTAGCGCTTGGTTTGCTTCCTCACCCAACTTCTTTTGATGCATTTCAAGCAAACGAATTTCTTGGACTAGCGCTGTTGGATCCGCTGATGTTAAAGACTGCCTCACATTATCCTTTCTCCTACCACGAGTTGTTCTGCGGCTTTTCCGAACAGATTTGCTTAGAATGGACTCCTCCTCAGTAGGGTAGGAGAGACACCTTGCTACTTGAGAAGAAGGTTCACACTCATTTGACCCCTAAAAACAATTATATATGCATGTCTACATAAGGATGAAGTTATCCCAGAGAATATTGGTATCTCAATTCACGGACATACCTTCAGTTCCTTTGCTTTTCTTTCTAGATCAAGTTCAGATTGTGCAATGTCTCTCTGACGCTTTAACTCTTTCATTTCCGTTTCCATCTGCCATTAGTTTAACATGAATGAATAATCAATCGTAAGTGATCCTCTCTAAAATTCAGGGTTGTTTTTGTCAATAAAACTCCATTTCACATCCCTTTTGGTTTTCCATTCTATCCTATGAAGTCCACATTTTCAATATTCCAAAGATAGATTCAAGATGA